CTGACCAAACTGCGGGAGGCGGTGGAAGACAGGAGTGCCTGGCGTGCTCTGGTCCATGGGGTCACGAAGAGTCGGACACGACTAAACGACTAAACAACAACAACAACAAAGGTAAAGGGACCCCTGACTGTAAGGTCTAGTTGCAGATGACTCTGGTGTTGCGGCGCTCATCTCGCTTTACTGGCTGAGGGAGCTGGCATACAGTCATGTGGCCAGCATGACTAAGCCGCTTCTGGCAAACCAGAGCAGCACACGGAAATGCTGTTTACCTTTCTGCTGGAGCGGTACCTATTTATCTACTTGCACTTTGATGGGCTTTCAAACTGCTAGGTTGGCAGGAGCAGGGACCAAGCAAAGGGAGCTCACCCTGTTGCATGGATTTGAACCACTAACCTGCTGACTGGCAAGCCCTAGGCTCTTTGGTTTCGACCACAGCGCCTACCTTAGACAAACCCAAACACATATCCAGCAGAGCCTGCATTATTGTTCATCTTCTATAGCTTCTGGAAGAGGGATCAAAATGTAATTGTCTAGGTTGTGTTAATGAATTTTATTCAAGAACTGGCTTAATGTTCCTGCTCAAACCTTTATTGTTCCTCCTAGGGCAGGGGAAAGACTCCATTTCTCTTTGGTTACTAGGATCATAGAAAACCAGCCGGCCACCCATTCCACTTCTTCCCTGCATTTCTGCCTGGATGCAGTGGCTCATAAAATGCTGTTCACATTTGAAAGGACCATAGAGATGGCCAGGTTACCAAATGGTTACATGCATGCTTGGGAAAAGATGCCGGCCAGCATGGCCAATGCCAAAGCATGATGTGAGTTGGAGTCCAACAACTTCTGGAAGACCACGGGGTCATCTTACACAGCAACCAAAGCAGTTTCTGTGCCAAAACTGGGCCTAAACCTTGGTTGAAACTGATCATAGGCGCCGACTCCATGGGCTTGAGGGGGCCCGAGCCCCCTCAAAAATTCGTTTTGGGGGGCTCCGCCCCCCCAATAATCTCCGGCGCCCCTCAGCAGAGCGCCATTGCCGCCCCTCCCCAGCCCAAAATGCACAGGGAGGGGCGGGCTGCATGCCTCCTGCCCTCCCTCCCAAGCAAAGCTCCACCCAATTTCCTTTGGAGCTGATTAATAGGCGCAGCAACGCTCTCCCCTATTCGCTCACGAGAGGCGGCGCCACTTTATTTGCATATTCATGAGCTTATTTATTATTATGAGCTTTCCCGGGCCCCCCCAATATTTTTTATAAGTCCGCGTCCCTGAAACTGATCTAGAAAATCAGTTTCCACCAAGAGCACTTGGATCTTGTTCGGGGAGTTGACAACTGGCACAGTAATTACTTAGATTTTCTGAATCTAGGGTGGGTTTCTGAAAGCAGAGTTCTTTCCCAGCCCTGCCTTTAGATGCCAGAGACTGACAATGTGACATTGTGTATGCTGAGCTGTGGCTGTTCAAACAGTCAAATGGAGAACTATGTCCTTAATAGGCACACAGAAACATTCAGACAACCTTCCCATTCAAAAACCAGAACTGTGTCCTGCATATACACAGAAAATTTATTCTACAATATTGGTGTACATGAAGTGATTTCAACAAAGTGGCATACAACCAGAAAAGGTCAAGTTGGTCGGTAAACCCATAAACCCCACTTGGTGTGGCCGTCAATACAACTCCATTGTTAAAGGTTTACATTGCTTGTGCAAACACTTTCAACCGCAGCTGCTTCTGTATTCCTCTTGTATTCCTCAAGGTCAACATTTAGCAGTATTTTTGGATTGTGGCTAACATTTTGGAAGATCCAGATTCTGAATCCTCAGCATTGTGACACATTTATATTGGCAAAACTGATGTTCATGTGTGTCTAGAAAGACCTGGTGCTGTTAGCAACTGACTGGGATGCACACAGTTTGAGTCGCATGCCTTCAGATTCTTAACCAGAGTGTTTTAGAACAAATACTGTGGACATTTGTATTCACTGGAAAGAGCTAATACCCACATCATCTGACTGAATATTTTTCTATCATTTCTGTTTACCAAAGTATTGGGTGAACAGGCTCCATAAATTGATTATTCCTCCGTTCCTCTCTATATTTAATCCAATTGCTACATTTATCATGTTCCTTGTTTGGGAACTTGGCAGGTTGTTCTTGAGTTGCCTGGATGCAGATGGGGAAAGGAAAAGAAGACAGGTGGTCTTTCAAACACATGAGGCCCTCCAGGGACCTGACTTTGCAACTAGCAAATAGATGAGTTTAAGTGAATGTTTTTATCTAGTTAGATCTTGCTGGGTTTTCTAACGCCACCCTTCACTTCCACCAAAATCCCAAAGTGTACAACTGGAACAAAGAACATATTTTCAGTCTGCAGGTCTTGTACACATGGAATCTCCGGATGTAAACCTGCCTGATATATGACCCGCACTGTCAGTTTTGATGGTGTGAATCACAAAGTTGATCATGATAACTATATTAATTTAAGGATTCCATAAATATGTAAGATGAACACCTAAAGCATCCTGCTGAAAAAGCTTGAGGAGGTGAGGAGGATCAAGAAGAAATAGGGGACCTTGCATTTAAGATGTTCAGGACTGCTGCTGTTGATAAAGACTAGTAATCTGCTAAGGCAGAGGCAGCACAGCCAAAGTGATGCCTTCTAGGTAGTGTTGGACTCCAAAACTCATCAGCCTCAGCCAGCATGGCCAATGATTTGGCATGATGGGAGTCCCAGCATGTGAGCTATCACTGTGCTAAGGTCCCTAAAGCCTTTCAGCTTATGCTAAAGGGTCTGGAAACCAAGCCTTGTCAGAAATGGTTGAGGGAGTTGGGGAAGTTTAGCCTGGAAAAAAAGGAGACTGAAGAGAAAAAAAGGAGGAGAAATGATAGCCATCTTCCAGTGCCACATGATGGAACAAGCTTGTTTTCTCCTGCTCTGGAGGGTAGGACTTGAACCAATGGATTGAAAATACAAGGAAGGAGATTCTGACAAAACATCAGGAAGAACTTTCTGAAAGTAAGAACTGTTTTGACAGTGGAACGGACTCCCTCGGGAAATGGTGGGCTCTCCTTCCTTGGAGGTTTTTAAGCAGAGGTTGGATAGCCATCTGTCATGGATGCTTTAGTTGAGATTCCTGCATTGCAATTTTCGATTCTACTGTACACATGTTTGACCCCCACCCCACCCACACATTAAACAAAGATTTGGATTCAGCATCTGAGCCATGCTTTGTGTTAGCCATGATTCTAAAAATAATATTTTGAATTCCGAAAACAGATGTTGAGACTATTAAAAGCATTTACACAAAGAACTCATGATCTTCAAAAAAATGGGACATTACATTTTCCTAGGATTCAATCCAAAATATATTTTTGGGGGGGGGGAAGGAAAATGTTGTTCTTCCTTCAAATAATGCAGTCCTTGCTGTTGTTAATACAGCTAGATGTTTTATGAGAGTCGTATGTTTCTGTTTTTTACAGTATTGTGTATAGTATACTACAGTTTATTTAAATCAGGCTGCAATCCTAAACCTATTCTAGGCTGCAGTGAGAGTAAGGGCTTAACTGCACTTGTCCCTTGTTGTCTTCCATTTGTCATGGGTTTTCTAGGTATGGGTCTGAGAGGTTTTTCATTTGCCCCACTGCTTTCCTTGGGAAAACCTACTTTTTAATGCAACTTCTTATGTTCCTATGTTCCCTGTGAAACCCAGTCCATATAAGATCACCCATAAGCGGCAATCCTGTATGTGCTTACCAGGGAATAAGCTCAATGGACTTAATTCCAGTGGTCCAGTTAGAGCATTTTTTGAATATGGACTTAATGGTTATATGGGGGGGATGTCTTGAGATGGTAATGAACTTAGTAAGCCTGGATAGCTGTGTTGATTAGAGCATGGTACTAATGGTGCCAGGGTTGCAGTTTGGATCCCTGTATGGGGCAGCTGCATATCCTTGCACTGCAGGGAGTTGGATTAGATGATCCTCAGTGTCCCTTCCAACTCTACAATTCTATGATTGTAAGCCAACTGTGTTGGAGGTCCCTGCTGCTGCCCTGCCCTCCTGCCCAGGCAACACCACTGCCTGCTTCCGGGTAGAGAGGCAATGGATTGCCTATGCCCCAGCAGTGATGAAAATCTATTTCCTCCACTCCCATGCAAGGCACTCCTAAGAGTAAACGAGCGAGGAATCAAAGTCCACATTAAGCTTTAAAATATTGTTATTAATTTTCACCAAAACAAAGGTTGTACAAAATTATAGTGTTATCAGACAGGATCCGATGACAATATACATAGTCCATATACAATTGTAGGTAACTGTAGAACAAAAACGGACACAAAACTGAAATAAATAAACCACAGGTGTGTGAATGCCTGGAAGGGGGCGTCTGAAAGTATCTGACTGTAGCATAGGCATAATGGTTAAACAAGACAAGGTTACAAAACATGGACCGTATTATATCAAAGGAAAGTAATGGGAGTATTCAAGTGCCCTGAGTCACTGCATTAGCCATATTCATTCGTCGGTCGAGGCGGGGTTGGGGTTGGGTGGGGGGTTCCTCGGCTATGTTCCTCCTTGCTTACACATGAAACAAAGTCAGAAATCGTCCTTTTGTCTTTGGCCCCTAAAGCCTTTCAGCTTATCACTTCGTTTTCCCCAAACTGTGCCGTGGTCATTCCAGCTGCTATAAGCAGGTGCACTATCAAGCATTTTTTCTGCTGCACATTTTGATCTACAGTACATCTATTTTTCTGAGTCAACCATTTATATCCCGCCTCTCACAAAAGCGTTCCCAAGGCGCTTCCAGGTGCGTAAAAGTTTAGCAAGAAAACCAATGGAAACTCTCAAACTGCCGGGAAAAGCGGCGAGGCGCAATTAGGAAGGCAGGAGCCCGCGGTTTCGCCTTGCCCAGTTCGCAGCGCCTTCCAGGAGGGGAGGGGAGTTGATGCCCGTGGGCCCCGCCCCGCGAGCCATGCCGTGAGGCCGAACCGACAGTCCGCTGACGAGAGGAGGTGGGCGCTTGTGCGCTCCCGCCGTGCGCTGCGCCAAAAGAGCCGCTCGGAGGCGCAGAGCGGGTCACTTCTCCCTTTCTGCTTGTCCGCTCGCCCTCGACGCCGCGCTCTCGCCGAGGACCCGACCTGCTCTCGCTCGCTCCCCTCGGCGTTTTCCTTTCCAAGAAGTGGCGAGGCGCCCTCGAGGTTCTAGCTGCAGCTTCCTTGGCGAGCCGATCTGGGGCGCCCTTTCCCCGGGAGGAGCAGCCGCTGACGCCTTTCTCTGCCCACGCCACCTCCCCGAGGCGATCTGCAGCCAGCCGGACCAGTTCGGCTCCTCCGGGCGCAATAGTCCTAGCTGGAGAGCGGGGAAAGCGGAGGGAAGGAGCGGCTCCGACGTGGATTCCTGCCTGGGACGTCCAGCCCCGCCAGAATTCGCGGCTGCTGCTACCGCCACCTACCCAAGTCCTCCCCGGGCACCTGGTCCGCCGCCTCTGCCGCATGAGGCTCTCTGGGCTGGTTCCTTGCCGCCGGTGTAGCTCTTCCACGCACGTCTTCCGACGCCAGGGCCCGCAGCCCCTTCCTCTTCCTCCCGCCAGGGTCATGAACGCCTCACTGGGGAACCAGACGGACGTGGTGGGGCTCTTCCTTGCCAACAGCAGCGACTCTCTGGAGAGGGTGCTGCGCTCCTTCACGCCCCGGTCGGTGGTGACCGACGACGGCTTCGTGGTGACCGCGCCGGACGAGAGGAGCCTGTACATCATGCGCGTGGTGCAGATCGCCGTCATGTGCGTCCTCTCGCTCACCGTCGTTTTCGGCATCTTCTTCCTGGGCTGCAACCTGCTCATCAAGTCCGAAGGCATGATCAACTTTCTGGTGAAGGACAGGCGGCCGTCCAAAGAGGTGGAGGCGGTGGTGGTGGGGCCCTACTGACCTCCCCCACCCCCTCCGAAGCCCCGCGAAGCCCGCCTGGCCACGCCAAGACTTCGACGGTGCGGACCATGTTGGTGCCTTCGTCGGAAACTCCTCTCTCGGCTATGGTATGATATCTTGAGTTGAGATGGGGTAGGGTGGGGGGCGAGGAGGAAACGATCGGCTACCCCACCCTCCTCCTCCTCCCTCTCCCTTTCCCCCTCCGTCAGGGGCACCCAGAGGACCGGGCAAACTTCGCAAGAGGGAGCCGAACTGTGCTGAACTCCGCAGGAAGCGAAGCGCTGGGACTGTTTACAAAGGCAAAGGCGTGACACGCGCTCTCGTTTCTTCACTTCGGCGTCCCGGGCCTCATCTTGGCTCTGGGAGAGGGGTTGATAAGAGAGAGAGAAAGAGATGGGGCGCGGGGGTTGTGATGAAGCCGTGAAGCCTTCCAATTTGATGTCGGTGTCCTGTAAATATGCCGTGTCAATGCACACAGACGATACATTCCCAACTTCGCTGCTTTTTGTTTCGTGTGGAGCGGGTGGGGAATGGGGACAAATCGCAACTTTGAATGTAAAATCGCTCAGCTCTCCTGTGAGACGTTTGCCTTCAGAGGTTGGAGCGGGGAGGGCAGGGACATCATCCATCGGGGTGGGCAGTCAGATTGTGCTTGTGTGTGTGTGTGTGTGTGTGTGTGTGGAGGGTGCCCTAGAGCCACTTTGCAGCATGTTGTCTGTAACACACTTCCCAGTGCTGATGTGTGAATGGAACAGTTTATTGCCTCCTCTCCTTTCTACTGTAGCTCCCTATCCTTCCTTCCTTCCTTCCTTTTCTTTAAAAAAAATGTATTCAGTCGGAGTCCACTTTGTATTTTGTACCTCTCATTTTTTGATGCTTGTCTGCTGCTAAAGTCAGCATGCTTGGTTGCTGCACCTGTGGCTTTATAAATTGCATTGGTTTACACAGCTCTGATGGTCTTCTTCATTTCTTATTTAATTTGCTGTAATAAAATCTGCCAAAAACTTCTCTCCAGAGTCTCCCAGTGCAGCTCTTTCACATTGAAATCCCTCTTGCTCTTTGGGCAAGCTGTGATGAGCATCTGGGCAGACCAGGGGAAGCATGTAATGAGGATTTCTCCAGCAGATAAAGTTGAGAAGGACAAGGCGATTGGGAGGGAAAGCATTAAAAGAGTTTTAGAGAACCCTGGCAGATAAGAAATACAGGACACCAATGTGCTTAGGAGTTTTTGGGGACATTATTATTATTATAACTAATTTATTGCATTTATATCCCAGCTTTGCTCCCAAAGGAGCCCAGGTCATCAAACACAGCAGTGATAAAACTATACCTTTAAAAATAAAACAACAACATTGAAAGCAATTGAAAGGGATATAAAAGGGTGTGAATTTGCCTACAGAAAGAAAAAAGTTCAGATTTAGACGGTGGCACTAAAACCACGCAAGTTAAAGGTACAGGGAGTATTCCCCCCACCTACCCACCCAAGAATGCTTTTCATCAAGCATGGATTCAAAGGGAAAGATCTGCAGGAAGATAAAGCAGCTGTCATGGAAATGATCCAGCTGGGGAAACATGTGCCGCTACTAATGAAAGGTGAAGGGTAGTGATTTTTTCTCCTCGCGCAATTATTTATAGTCAGGAAACTGATGAGAAAGATGCATTGACTGAATCTGTGCCTGGCCAGTTGATTGAGCCAGCAATTTGCAACAAGCCCTGGGCTGCCTAGCAGTTCAAGCTCTGCCCTTATATTTGCATCCCAAAACTGCATGGAGAGGAAACAAAGGAAGGTGAGATCTTCTCTCTTAGCAGAACTTCCCATAGAGACTCGAGCTTCCAACTACACACGCCTGTAGGTTCCATAAACACAGTGGTGTTAGAAGGATTGACAGCTGCTTAATTACATAGAAAGAGGTTCATTGTGCAAAGGTAGGTCACATCAGGGGGGGGAAACCCTTCTTGCACCCAATATAGGGAATAATATAGGTCTTACAAGTTGCCCTGTTTCAAGACACTCCTAGCCCTACTCTCGCCATTCATTTTAATACTTGTAATATATAACCTCCCGTCAAGACAAAATGTATAGTTCAATAAGGCTAATTGAAAGGAGTTAGAAATAGTTTAGTGGAAACAAAATGATCTAACCTCCCCACTATTTATTTTAACCCTCCCACCCCCTTGTCATTTTGCATTGTTTTCTTCCCATGGTAAGAGCAGAAGGTCGTGTGCTATTGTAAAACAAGCAGCAAAACACACGACACAGTTTGGTTTTTTAAAGTTGCTCGGTTGCTGTGTCCATGGAAGGATCGTCTGGGGGGGGCAGATTTGAAAGATCGGAATTGTACAGTTGACCCCATTCAGGCTGCCTACGTAGGTGGCCTTGGAAGAGAGCTGTTATGTGTACATTGTGCACATAAGACACAGGAAACGGGAGGGGTAGGTGGGAATGTAGCACAGAAGCCTGAACATAAAAGGGAACAGGATCGCACAGGAAAAACTATTACAGTGGGGGAAACCAAGCAGAGGTGATGAAGAAAAGGGGACTCAGAGAGATATTTGCAAGGATGTGATGGAATAAGGACTGATTAGGAGGAGTCTGTTCTTTTAGCTCCCTTGGTCTTCAAGCCTAGGTCACAACAAGTTTTATGCATTCAGGCAGGAAAGAGGTACATCAGATCTATGCCTTTATTTTTAAGCCACAAATATTAATGTTTAGAGACACCACTTTGAACTGAACAGCAATATCTTCTCCTCAGATGCATAGGAAGCTTTGTCAAGAGAATATGGTTATGGTTTGGAAAGCAAGTTCTCGAATCTGAAACATCCGTTTCTGGCAACTTTTATCAACTGCTGGTTGTCTTAGTCTAGACCAGCCTTGCCTGATTCACCAGCCTTTCCCGTCTCTGCTAGTGATATTCACATAAGAAACAAAGGCTCGGCTCGGTAAGAGAGGAAGTTGCCAAGGCCTGTGTGGTATCTAAGGAAGCTGTGCCGAGTGACCAAGTCTCAAATGTGTAAGGATTATCTGTAACACAGTGATGGAAGGGAACAACACTAAACACAGAGGTATCTGCTTCAGTATTAACCGACAGGCTCCATGGTTGAACAAGGCCTAAAATGTATTTATTTGCCACAGTTTAAAGTAAATAAATATGGCTTGCTATCATGAAAGTGGCCTACTTTCATTGCAGTAACGGTTCAGACATTAACAAACAGCAGTAAAATTACAGTGTAATGCAAAACAGAGTAAAAATGGCACCAATAAAAAAATCAAAAGGCAGTGCTAAAGAGAGGTAGGTTCTTAGCTGCCAGCCAAAAGACGAACAGGGACCAGACCAGGAAAGCTTCCTCTGGCAGGATATCCCATTTCCTTGGCACTACAGAAGAAATGGCTCTGTCCCTCATGTCCACCTGACATATTTCTTACTCTGGTGGGGGCACAGGCAGATCTGGGTGGCAGGAGATGAAGATCAGACAGAGTTAGCTACTTGGGGGTGATTTGTAGATAATCATGCATTGGAATTCAACACAGTGCTTACCCAACAGAATCATCTCTCTTCTCCCCCCCCCCATGCTTTGTTTTTTGGGGGAGACTCCTGACCCTTCTAGGTGGATTTGGAGCAGGCATGATGGCAGGGAGAGGGGAAAGCCCTATTGTGCTAGCAGGAGTCCTTATACAAGCTTCCGCTAGCCAGACAGGTACATTGAATTCACCTCTCTGGTCCCAGGTAATTTAGGACCAAGAGTGAGAGCATGTTGCCCTTCGGATGTCATTTGATTCCAACATCCATCAGCCCCAGCCACCCTGCCCAGTCATAAGAGATTGTGGGTTTTGTGGTCTACAGGTGCCCCACCCCACCATCCCTAATTTTGGATTTTAAAAGGCCAAAATCAGCACTTTGAACTGAGCCCAGAAGCAAATCGGTGCCTAGTTCAGATGGTATAATATTGTAGTCAGATGTTTCTGAACTACCAGTTCCAGTTAGCATTCTGGTAGACACATAAATTAAGCCCTGAGCAAAGTGCAAAATTCTCAGGGGAAGTGAAAATGAGATGAATGTAGTTTAAACTGCTGGTTTTCTTGTACCAATATCCTTTAGGAACACTGCCTAACAAATTGGGTCCTCTTGCCTGTCTGAAAGGCAATAATAGTTCAAACAGCACTTCAAGTGTCCAAATCATTCCACACGTATCACTGTGGCCGTCTTTACCTACGTTATTATCCCTGTACTGTAGACAAGAAGACAGAGGACAAGATAACAGCCCTAGAGCTACCCCATGGCTGAGGTAAGATTTGGACCAGGGAGAGACTTCCCAGCTCACATTCTTACGCCACCAGTTCTGGATCTTGATTGACATAAGCATAGATTTCCTGTTATTAAAGACCAGTGAGAGCTGCAACTAATTGTTGCAGTGTACCCCCTGCTTCCTATCCAGGGATCCAGCCAGCCATTCTCTTCAAGTGGGACATTCCACTCTTCCCTCCCTCAAGTCCCTTTTTCTTTTCCAAGTGCCACTAAACTTTCTGAGCATGCTCAGTTCTCCTTTGGTCTCCTTGGGGGGGGGGGGTAGTTTTGACCTCTTTAGGTGTTGTTCATTTATTTATCTGCTTCAGACCTCAAGGTTCTCCGGAGTATGTTAATACTTCCTTTGTTTCTTAGTGGCTCTGCTTGGCCTACAATTTTGTCACCATCTGAGTTTGTTCGTTCATTTGTTCATTCATTCATTCATTGTGTTTATATTCCACATTTTCCTCTAAGGAGCTCAGTGTGGCATATATGGCTTTCTCCCCCCTCTTTCAACCCCCACAACAACCCTGTGAGGTAGGCTAGGCTGAGAGGCAGTGACTGGCCCAAGGTCCCCCAGGGAGCTTCATGGCCAAAGGGGAATTTGAACCCTGGTCTCCCAGGTCCCAGTGTTGTGACTTTCTAACCACTGTACCACACTGGCTCTTTCGTTTGCTATCAGGAGGAAGAAATGACTCTTCGTTTACCACTAGAAGAGAGGCAGAAAGCATTGTTAACAATTGCAGACACGGCAGGTCAGCAAAACCAAAGGGGTTGAAAAAAAGAAGGAAGGGAAAAGAATGAATGATTTTCCCGTTGATTTTTCTAAGAGCCAAGTGGCTGAAAATGTATGTGCCGAATCCTCGAGCAAGACACTGCTAAAGGTTGCCGTTGTAAAGACTAATAGAGAACAGGCAATAACAGTGTTCAGTTGTTCTTTCGAAGCAGCATGCCGGGCCACCTGAAGGCCCTTGATCAGAGACAAGCATTACACCACGCCTAGGTGTTCAGCTGTTGTTTATAGTGCTGTCAACCTACTGAAAGCAATTTACAATAGACAGATTTTGTAACGTACAGTACTGTATTGGTTTAAACCAGTTCAGCAAACACGTAACAGTGACCTTGTTCTCCAGTGTACCCAGGATTTTGGTGTTGTTTAACAAAAACCAGCTTTTTAGCAAGTAGACGTGAAATAGAAAGGCAGACTAATTTGCTATGGGGGGGGGGAATGCAAAAAGTTAGACGTAAGAGCCAATTAAGATGATGTGCTCAGAATACAGCAGATTGGCCAGCATGAGTCGTGCCTTGCATCGCAACTGAAATACTGCAATGTGCTCAACAGAGGTCTGCCTTTGAAGACTACAGTTTTTGCTCAGAAACTACAATTGGTCCAAGAATTGCCACCTTCAAATGCTGTGCTTGTGCCACCTTCAGATGACCTGTTTATGGAGCTTCCATTCTGATTTGTCTGCACAAAGTTTGCAGGTCGGGTAAACAAGGCCGGCCATTTACTGAGCATTCATTCAGATTTGTTCATGGGGAGAGCTGACGATGTCGGATCAAGCAAATGTTAACCAACACTTCCTGACTCATTTCTGTCTCACTTTCCCTATCACAAAGTCTGGGGGTGTGTTTTCTTTGGGTGGGGGAGAAGCTGGTTTGCTG